ATGCAAGACCTCATTATTCCCAGTCAAATCAGGACTATTCAGAAAATTACCCACAAAATATGAGTTTTCATCATTAAAGCACAGATAGAGCTGATGAGTGGAACAAATGTCATTTAAAAATGGAAGGTAGTCCTGACTGGTTTGGCTCAGTGGATAGAGTGTCGGCCTGTGGACTGAAGGGTCCCAGGTTCGATTCCGGTCAAGGGCACATGCCTGGGTTGTGGGCACATCCCCAGTAGGGGGTGTGAAGGAGGCAGCTGATGGATGTTTCTCTCTCATCAATGTTTCTAACTCTTTATCCCTCTCCCTTCCTCTCTGTAAAAACTCAATAAAATATATCTTTTAAAAAAGAAAAATAATGGAAGGTAGAGTCAAGAAAATGGATGGAAAAACTATGGTTTCCTTTCAGGATACACACACACACACACACACACACACACACACACACACGCACACACACACACGGTGGTAGGTAAATCTAAGGACTGTGTAATCATATTATGTATCAGTAGAGCTATATCTCTCACCTCAAACAGTGCGTAGAGAAAAGTTTTAAGTGATGTAGGAAATAAAGAAGGGCTGCTTATGAAGATGGTAGGTGTCAGGGAAAGGCAGACGCAGACACCAGAAAACAGCATAGTGGCGCTAACAGAAATCAGGAAGGCAATCATAAAAATGATGACGATCAGGCTGGAGAAACTGGCACTGTGAGTCAATTAAATAATGGAAGCGTCGTTGGAACGAATGGGCATGAAAAGCAGAGAACACACTGATGGAAACACGGGATCCAGCATGGAAGGATCGATGAGGGAAACGGAATCTGGGGCATTATTACCATGTGGGAGACAGGCTGCCTGAGTTAGAGGACAGGGTGGGGCTGGGAAAAGCAGATCTGCTTCCAGTTTTTCTGTGTATTCATTCTCTATGGCTCTGGGTAGTAGAGCTTATTTTGTTGATACAGAACTTTCTAATAATGACCTCATCAGATAGCAAGGGCCAAAGAGTCTGAAAAAGAGCTCATTGTTTACCGCTCGATGGAAGCAGAGCAGACAAGTTCAGTGCATGTGGAATCACCTCCCAGTGGGAGCCAATGTCACGGAGGACTGCTGCATCTCAGTGGGCAGAGGGGATCAGAAGGCACATGCTGGAGACCAGGGGAAGGGACTTTCTCCAGAGAGAACGATTCCTAAGAGGTAAGGGCACAATCTAAGGAAAGGGACAGGAGGTAAAGGAAGGTAGACAAAAGGCTGAGTTTTTAAGTAAAAAATAAGGTATCATTCTGGGGCCAGATGGTTAAAAAAAGGGAAAAAGTAACAAGAGTCACATTGACAAGAAAGGAGGAATAACAACAACAACAAAAATTAAAGCCACAAGGTGACATTTTGGCATAAAGATTTTGATACAGGAAAATACTGAAGGGGAAAAATTCACTCAGAAGAGAAATGGCATGAGAGTAAGAATGATGTGGAGGGGCGAGGCTGAAAGATGTTTGTCAGTAACTCAGGTGAGAGGAAGTGTGATGGTGCTGGAGTGGGAAGGAGCTGTAGCAGACACACACACTTTGTATCTAGAAAGAAAGAAAAAAGGAAAAAAAACTATTCAAACCCAAGTGGGGTATAAAGTGCTTTGAGTCATTCCCTCTAAAGGTAAGATTATTATTATAGGCTATTGAGTTGGACTTTTCATGACAAAGAACATGTGATCTGGTATAAGATCAAGTCATCTGCAACAAGAATGAGGCTTCTCTTGTTCCCTCTGAAAACTTGCAGTAACATGACTGTGCAATTGTCTTGCTTCCTCCTGTCCTCTGCTTGACCAGCTGTTGCAGGCCTGCAATAAGGAAACCTGAGCTTAGATAAGGGTTTATGGGAAAACAGGTGGAGAAAATGCCGCTGCCCAGACCAGAGGCAGACAACCTTTCAGAAGTGAGATGCCACGTGGCTGACCCTGGTTCCTCAGGTCCGTGGTGAGGGGTGGGGCGGGGAAGCTGGTAAGTGACCTTCCAACAGCACCTCCATCTCCTGTCAAAACAGCCCCCCATGCTTTCCTACTCTACTTCATCCCTCTCCCTTTGGGCCCCATTTTCTTAGTGTAAATACTCTTGGGGAAAGATAAACCCATCTGACCTTCATCGGTTTGGGGACATGCATCAAATACTTGGATGGCTTTCCTTAGGGCTGAAGCTGAGAGCAGTGGCCCAAGGTGGACTGCAAGGCTTTCCCCAGTAATCTGAAGTAGGAAGTGGACACCATTGGGTTTGAAGAGAGGGCAGAACTTAGGCTAGAAGAGGCTGGGATACCAGGCATCCTTGGACACAGCAGGGAGAGAAGGCACTACAAGGTGGAAGCAAGGAGATGGGAGGTGGGAGGGAGATAGACACATCCCTCCCTTTTGCCATGGAAGCGAGACCCCAGGGACAATGAACACTCTAGGTTTACTATGAGTGACTTTGGGAGAAACCAGAACACATGGGCTTTGTTTGTCACAGTGGGGACCAGACAGGAACTTTAAAGCTCTCTTAGGAATTACCAGCTTACACCCAGCTAGAAATCTAGCCTATCATGTCCCAGCCAGCAGAGCCCATCAAAGATGCCACTTCTCATATCTGATCCTTTGAATGCACTTAAGGTAGCAAACCCAAGAATTTGGGGATGAAAAGTAGGCTCTCAATTTATTGTTACCTTTTATTCGACAGTAAAACTAGAGGAAAGTAGGTTGTGGAACATATAGCTATTAAAACGACACAACCAACAGTTAGAAATTAAACTAGAAAATTAGAGTGATAGCCTGAAACATACTAACTAAATATCCTAAATACACCACAATGGATCCATATATTAGAAGCGATTTCTATTTCCAGTTTTATTTCCTCCTGGCATAATTAAAAATTCACTATTTTACTACTCTTTGTATGAAAGTGCACTGCTTTGAAATTTCCCAAAATTCACCTCTTTTTAAGAGGAAAGGCCTCCCATTCTCAAACTCCATGACAAAAGGGTGAAACTTTCACCATCCATGTTTCCCACCCAGATACTTGAGATTCTGAATGCAGAGCTGTTTTCCTGCTGAGGAAGGTGTTTTAAGGACCATAGACTCTACAGTCACACTGATGTTGCCCTGACAGAGCTGATGTTTGGGTTATTGACGTCAGATTCTCCCTAGTGACCCTGAGATGCAAGAGGAGGATAGACTTGCATTGAATCTCAGCCCCACATGTCTACCTTTGTGAACCATAAGCTCTTCTCTCTCCCAATTCTATGGTCATTAGATACTAAGTTCCCAGGTTTCTAGAAAATGTGTCCCAGTGAGAATTCTCCTTCCTTTGCTATTACTCAGCAATTCAGGGCATTTGTAAACCATAGCACATCCTTCTGAAAACAGCTGCTTAGCCGAAGAGGAGCCTAGCTCTTGTCATTTGGCTGTGTCTGGTGACAAGAAATACTGTCACAGCACTGTCATGGAGGCAAATCGAAACTGCGCGACTTGAACTTGAAAAGGCCTTTGGGAATGTCTTCTTATAAGGTCATTTTCCAACTGAAACCGACTGCTTCCACTTCACAGAAACGTAACCATCTGCGTGTTACAAGCTGCTCCTGTATCTCCTTAAATGCCCAGTTCCTTGCTGTTTCTCTCTGGTACTCCTCCTGGCAAAGCGCAACAGGAAACGCCGATCTGTTTATTATGGTGCAGTCACGTGCAGAGTCACAGAGAGAAGGATTCTCAGGAGAAAAACCTGGAGAGGTGAGTGGAAGAGTTACCATCAAGCTTCACTAAAACCTGGTTCGTAGACATGGTTCAGACACACCACTACCTGCGGCAGGTTTACTTCTTCCACCAGGAGCCTCAGCACCACTGGCCGTTGGGTGGGTGACTGATGGGGACTCGCCTCTGCATGGTGAGATGTTTAACAGCATCCCTGGCACTCACCCACCAGAAGCACCTACATGCCACCGCCTTCGGGACAACCCAAATATCTCCTCCAGACATGGCCTTGGGATGCAAAAGCAGCCTTTGTTGAGAATCACTGTCTTAAGGATTTGTTTCCTCAATGGTAAAGTGGAGCCCATGAGAGTGGAGAGCTGCTGGGGGCTGACGGTGAAATGCTGCACTCGAGAGGTTGGTCTGCTACATGACTGTAAGGTAGTATTACTTACAGACATATTTGTTCACACATGGAATTTAGGTACTTTCATGAGTAACAGATTTGGCAGGTCTCACCTGACAGAGCAGGAGCAATGTGCAGAGAGGGAATGTATCCTCTTAACAACTGCAAATCCAAGAGCTAAGAATTTACAGACACATCAATGTTCTCATGCCCAGTTCAAGAACGAGTGCAAATGCCAAATGGGGATGTGATCCAAATGACCCTGAGGTTTAGTCTAACTTTAAGGATTTGTGGAAAAGGGGAAATTAGAGAGGGATTAATACTCCTAGAGTACTTAACATCCATTCTCTAGAAGCTCATTAACCCCAGGCTATTAGAATAAAAGTAATTTCCTTTAATAGTTTCTAAGTTATTGGGAGAATTTACACACAGTAGATGTCACCTCGTAAGGAAACTACAGAGAAAGAAGCTGTGGACTCTGATTGTTTTGGAGACAATTCTTCACTTTTAGGAAGAGTTAAGGCGGTCAGCAGGCAAGGCTGTGGAGCTGACAGCCAGGTGGGAGCAGCAAAACCTACTATTGGACGTGACTAAATGGAAAGAGACATCTGAACCCAAGTCCACGTGCAACAAGTGTAAGTGCCACAGAGAAGCAGATACGGAAAAGTCCTTTTCTGGAGGAAACAGAGTACTCTGATTCGAGATCTTTACACATTGTTTTTTTCTGGAATCTGTAACTTCTAACACCATCATGAAATCTTAGAAGTCAGGTTTTCCTAGAGTGCTGTGTAGTCATTCATTTAAAAAAAGTAATATGAACCAAAAAATCTACATGCAAGAAGAGATCATTTGCACTCAGTTCTGTTTTTATTATTATTGTTTAACACAAAAAAAGATGAAGATTGCTGAATACAATTGTTTCCTTGTGCAAGCTACTTTTGCATTATGTCAAACAAATGTTTATAAAAGGGTCAGAAGCACAAACAAAATGAGTTAAGAAAAACAGATAAAGAGTTCGAAATGAGTATCTTGTTGCTGGTAGTGGCAATTCTAGTGGAACAAAGACAGGCTGTGGCACTGGAAAGCTGAGGGCATGGAGGGGAAGGAGATCACCTGGAAAAAGGGGCCTGGATTTGGGGTTTACGGAACTCCTAAAGGTGGGAATAAATAGAGCCAAAGACTTGGAGCAATCATCAACTATCTAGAAACCTAAATGATTTCCCCCCTCCTTTTAATCCTGTGTTAGGCTTCTCAAGAAATACTTCCTTCCTGATGCAACCTCTGCGGTAAATGGGAAATTGTACTGCATATCCAAAACAACTTCAGTTTCTTTTGATTGACAACACCGGAGAAGAAAGAGAATGCACTTTTAGAATACTAGAGTGTTTGGTCCTTTAAATTCTGGCAGATACAGGAAAGTTCCATGAGATAGGAAACGTTTTCCTCTTAGGTTTAAACCTATAATAAAATGTCTCCAACAGGCTAATTATACATGTTTTATATATTTTGTGCATATGTGCTCCTCTCTAAACCAATTTAATTCCCATTAATGCTAATCTTGTTATTGCCCACTCTGAGAGGAAAGGAATCCTTTTAATAAACAATTGATTTATTTGAGATATTTCAAGGGGGGATGGGCAGAAACTGATGGGAGAGGAGGAAAAAACCACCATTTTTATCCACCTGCAATTCTGAGACTATTTTCCAAATATTAATGAGTATTAGGTTAGACTAGGTATGAATAGAAAGTGGGGGAAAATAAAGTGTCAAAGTTGACAGTCCTCCACCCATGAAAAATAAGGGCATGGTAACAGAGGTTTATTGATACATCTTTAGTGCTAGCTCCAAGGTTAGAAATGAGATATCACAAACAGAAGCAGATTTTCTCTGTTAAGAAAAGGGATAAATAAAAAGGAGATTCATACTTGTAAGCTCTTACAGAAATGGCTTTTTCTTAATTAAAAAAATAGGACGGACAGGTCAAAAGAACAAATAGGTAAGTTGTGCTCCTACCACACCTTGTCTTGTTGCCAGCATGACTGTCCCCCTTGTTCTTGATACAAGAATCCGGTAATTTCTCTCAGCTTCATTCAAACCGAGATTGGCTCTTAACAGAATGTGTGCCCAGGTCTGATGTTCTCCTGGAGTGTACTGTGGTGTGACCGAGGGCCGAGGGCTGGCCTGGCGTTGAGAAAGCCAGAGGAAACCCTTTCCATCCCATCGAGCCTGTGTCCAACCTGGCTAACCGATTTTAAAGGTACAGATGTTTATTTCCAATTCTCCTGGGAAAAGTGGCATGTAATAAAGAACAAGTGAAAGAAGGGTTGTCCAGGAGTCACCATCTGGCCCTAAGATAAGTTATTTAACCTCCCTGAGACTCAAGTTTCCTTACCTGAAAAATGGGGATAATGATCTCTAGGTACCATGTTTTGTACCGCACAGTAGTATAAGGATCAAAAAATGTTTTATTTTTAAAAACACTGTGATAACTGAAGTGGTGTAAAACCAAAAAGTATTATCAGTTGGGAAATAGTTTTAGAAAAAGTGGCACAGAAGTAAAAAAAACTTAAAGGGAGAAATACACAAGGCTAGGGATCAATTTTGTCTGGGCCTCGTAAGCCAGAGAGAGAGAGACTGATTTCCCCTCAGAGTTCTCTTAAAAGTTCTCATGGCAACTGATGCTCTTACTTTATAATTATGCATATAAAACATAAAATAAAAATTAAAGATGGAAACTATTTAGATGAGTAAAGTTTTCCATTTTTCGTTTATCCAAATGTTTGGTGTAAGTTAAACACATGAAGATGGGGTCAGAGGTGAGCACAATCTCTTAACATTCATTGAAAAAACTACTACAAGAAATATTTTCAGCACAAATATTAAACTGCCTTTTCTCTACCGATTGGTAAAAAAATATATTATATTTGATTTTTCTTTTCTTTTTAAATTACATTGTTATCCATCCCAGCCAAAGTCGTGCCCGGTCATCTGGTAGAACTTGCGGTTGAAGGGCCGGTAGAACTCGCGCAGCCTCCGCACCACCTCCGGGTCGATGTCGGGGTGGGTCCGGCCCTTGGTCTTGCCCAGGCAGTGGGGCTTGCTGCTGCCCTCGGCCTTCTTCAGGCAGGGGAAGCCCTTGGTCTTGTTGAAGTAGAAGTGCTTGTCGGTGATGATCCTCTTGAGGCCCAGGAAGTCCTGCACGCGGCCCAGCTCGCCGGCCGGGTCGCTGATGAGCCGCTCGCCGCTCACGAAGAGCATCTGGCTGAGCGGGAAGTGGCGCAGCCAGTGCTCCAGGTGCTTGGCGTAGATGCCGATCTGGATGGCGCTCCACGATGTGTCGATGAGGCCCGTGCTCCTGTTTTTGAACGTCAAGCTCTCGAAGGTGGGGATGTCCGGCCGCTTGGACAGCGTCTGCGTGTAGTCCGAGATGGCCCTGGTCACCGGGTCGCGCACCACCACGATGAGCTTGGTGTCCTTGGACATGGCCGAGATGCGCGCGGGGGCCTCCCGGGTGACGAAGTAGCTGGGCGTCTTCTCCATGGTGATCTGCCCGTCCAGGGTTCTGGGCATCAGGTCCCTGAGGAAAGAAAAAGGCACGTGAGCCTGAAACAAAGCGACTGGCCCTGGTTTACACAGAGAGCTCATTCCAAGGGAGGGGGTGAGTATATACTCAGAGCCGGACTGCGACCGGATCCCAGCTCTCCCACCTGCTAGATGTATGACTTCATATTTAATGGAAAATGATAATAATAATACTCAGGTGCCTGTGTATTTAATGGAAAATAATAATAATAAATAACAATAATCTCAGATGATTATTGTGATGATTAAATGAGTTAATGTATCTCAATAGCTTAGAAAAATGCCTGACAGAATAAATGCTATCTAATTTTTATTTTTTATTATTACCAACCCACAATGCTGTAGAAAATAAGCTTGATCAAATTCTTTATGTGAATTAGAATATTGTAATAAACACAATCACACTGCTATGAGATGGTAATAAAATACCCTAAATACTTTCTGTAATTTTCTTAAAAACAGCAATTATCCTATATAACAAAAGGCTAATATGCAAATAGACCTAATGGTGGAAAAACCGGAACCGATCGCTATGACATGCGCTGGCCACTGGGGGCATGCGCAGAACATGGAGGGTGTCAGCCACGGTGGGACAGTGGAGCAGGTGAGCGGGGGCGCCAGACCAAGGTGGGTGCCAGTCGCTGTCATCAGGGCGAGCCTCTGGTGGTTACTGAAAATTCTTTACTCCTGTGCACTGTGGTCCTGCCCAGTGCTTGCACCTGCTGCCAGCGCAGGAGCCACCACTCGCACCTGCTGCTGGTGCTGGCCCCAATTGCTTCATGCCGTCAGCGGGTACAAGTGAGGCTGGCACTGTCAGCACCTGGGAGCGGCAACGGTGGGAGCGAAGCTGCTGGCAGACAGAGGACTGGGCAGCGGTGGGAGGAGCGGGGTGGGGGCACGAAAGATGGTCCGAGACCCACCCCTGTGCCTACTGCAGCCTTGCGGCTCACAGTTCCTTTAAAGGTGCATGAATCTGTGCACTGGGCCCCTAGTATTTAATGTTATACCATAGCATATTACACAAAGTACTTCTCTATAATTCTGGAATTTTCCTATAACAAACAAGACATTAAATAATCCATCTTTTATCTAATAATTTGAAATGTCATTATTACAATATTCTAAATATCTTGCTTCCTCTCTTCATTGGCCCAATTATAAGGTTATTATCACATTAGAGTACATTTTTATGTACATCAAAGTAAATTCGGACTCTATTCAAAACGTTCTTGGCGAGTCTTGTCTGTCTATTCTTCCTGATGAATGTTAGAATCACTTTGTGACACACACACACACACACACACACACACACACACACATCCCACTGGAATATTTTGATTTTTTTTTTCAGAGAGAGGAAGGGGATATGTGCTCTGACAGGGAGTCAAATCCACCACTTCTTGGGTGAACTGGACGACACTCCAGCCAACTGGGCCACCCAGCCAGAGCTCAGGGGACTCTCCGTAGAGTGGATACTGCCACCCTGTTCAAGCATGCTTTCCTCCTGAGAACGGGTGGGTCTCAGGGCCAGTCAAAACTTATGAGCCAGACAGAGAAACCCTATTTACTCTCCAATTTAAGTGCACTGTCATTAAATCCACTACTTATTAGAAAAATACACATTAAATATGTATATGCTAAGGCAGTGTTTTTCCAGTTTCAAGTTTTACAAGAAATAGATATTCCTCAAATCAATATTAAAATAACTGTATTTTGGGGATTTACAATGACTGAATGTGTTTTGTCCTTTTATTCATCAACTAGAGGCCTGGTGTACAAAATTTGTGCACAGAGGCAGGGGGGTTCCTCAGCCCGGCCTGCACTGTCTCGCAATCCAGGACATCCCTCTCGCAATCCGGGACCACTGGCTCCTAACTGCTTGCCTGCCTGTCTGCCTGATCACCCCTAACCGCCTCTGCCTCGGCCCCCGTACCCAGGACCCAGGCTTCCCTCCTCCGACTGACAGCAGGCCCCCTGGACTCAGGTTTCCTTCCCTCTGGCCGGCTGCAGGCACCTGGGACCCCGGCCGGCACTGCCTGGGCCCTGGCTTTGTCAGGAAGGATGTCCAGAATGACGTCTGGAAGACGTCCAGTCTATCTGGTCTAGTTAGCATATTACCCTTTTATTAGTATAGATAAGAAAAATCAAACTTATAAATATCCTTATATTGTTTGTACTTTTATTCCTGGAATATATTCTCTTTGATCATAGTATATTATTCTTTTAATATAGTCCTGTATTTGAATCATCTTTACTTTGTTTTGGATTTTTCATCTATATTCATTAATGAGATGTTTCTGTAGCTTTTCCTTTGATTAATAGCTTAATGATTTGTTAAAATATGAATTATTCTACAAACAAAATGAGTCCAGAAAAGTTTCATCTTATTTATTATATATCCTAGAAAACTTTAAGTAGCAAAATAATTTTCTAGTCTTTCAAAATTTGATGTGTGTCACATACACAGCCATCTAATCCAGGCACTTTTAGAGTGAGGGTAGCAAAGGAACTAGGGTCTTCAATTCTCTTTCAGTTTCTTCCCTGGTTACTGGTTTGTTTGTTTGTTTGTTTTTGTAATACTCTGCCTCATATTGTGTAAATTTTAGCAATAAATATTTTTCTAAAAATCACCCAGTTGAGGAGTTGATTTAGCATTTTCTGCCTATCTTTCTGCTTTCTCTATTAGACTATCTTCTTTAATTTGCTGATTTCCCTTTTAGCTCTTTAATGCCCTTCTATACTTTTTCTAGTTATGCTTTGTTGTTCTTCTAGTTTATGTAACTGAGTGCTTGGTTCATTTATTTTCAATCTCCCTTCTCAATTAACAACAGCATTTTGATGATACTAATTTCCCTTTAAGTACAGACTTAGTCAAATTCCACAAATTGTTGTTTTTGTTTTTTGTGTTTGGTTTTTTTTTTATAATCCTCACCCAAGGATATTTTTCCAGATTTTTAGAGAGAGTGGAAAGGAGGGGGAGAGACAGAGAAACATCAATGTGAAAGAGACACATCAATTGGTTAACTCCCACACATGCCCCAACCAGGGCCAGGGACTGAGCCTACAACCCAGGTATGTGCACTTGACCAGAATCAAACCCTGGACCCTTCAGTCCAAGGGCCACCGTTCTGGCTAGGGTAAATTCCACAAGTTTTAATATGCATAGTTGTAATTTTCATAACTTCATGATTACTTAGGAATCACATTTTGCACTTGTTATTTCCATTATGGTCCAGGCATTATCTAGGATTGATTCTTTATTTTTATTTTTAACTCTAATGGTTGATTTGATGTTGTGGGGGTTTTTTTGTGTGTGTGGTAATTTTGTTAATTTCTACTTTGCCTTTGTAAGAAAAGAATGTACTTGTGATATGTGAGTTTGCTTTTGTTGACTTCCTATAATTTTCCTCACCTCTACTATTACCTAGCTGTATATTGTGAAAAATTTCAAAGACGCACAAAAATACAAAGAACTCTAACATAAATCTCAGTGCCCTACATTCAGTTTTAAGAAGTGATCACTAGTGGCTAGTTTGATTTCATTCATAAATTTCCATTCCTACTTCCCCCAAGACCCCAAGTGGATTCCCTGGAAGCCTAGCTCAGAGATCACGATTGGTTCTTAGACACTGCATTGGATCTGGCACAGATTCTCCAACCTCGTGGCAATCTAGTGGCCTGACGGTGCCTCAGTTGAATGATGCAGGGTTCTCCCATTTTTGTTTTTTTTGATATTGCAGTCAGGTTATCTTTAATTTTTTTTTTTGAAACGGAAAATGATAATTAGATGTCTGATAGCTTTTTATTTTGTTTGTTTTTAAGAAATCTGCAATTCCCTTTTCAAATGAACTTTTAATGTGCCATATTCTCCATTTCTTAACTATCCTAAGATCTGGGTAATGGTAACCAAATAGTGCACAGGGAGCTGAAGGCTGCCATTCCTCTCTGAGCTACGCCAGTGCCACTGGGAGACCCTTTCACAGATTTTGTCACTGCGCACCTCCCTTCATTGGACTCGAGAAATTGGCTAGACCAACCCACTCTGGAAGCTTAGGTTACACTTTCATCAGATGAGGCAGGAGATCTATCCAGAAATTGTGGGAATATCTCAGTTAAGGAAATTTGATCAGATGTGTGAAAAAGTTTGGGATGTAAAAGCAAACATCAAATATCACTAAAGTGATAACGATTTAAAAAAACACATGTTGATTTTTTTTAAAAAGGCAGCATTTTTGCCTCCTTTCCTGGAATCTCTGACTTTTAACTACTCGACCCCCTATTTTGGCCTGTGAAATAGAGATAACATCCTTCACTCCGGAGCTACTGGCTGGCGGTCTCAGCTTTCCTTCCCTGGGTCGCAGCGGGAGGCCGGTCCCCAGCAGCCCTTAAAGTCAGCAGAGATTAAAGCTGCAGATTGGGCTGAGCCAGAGGAAATACTACTACTATCTCTGAAAAAAGAAACCATATAAGTTATCTCAATAGAGTAGAGGAAACGCTATCCAAAAGAGGGGGAGTTAGAAGAGGAAAAGCTAAAATAGAATTTCAGAAGAAAAACACATTAATTACTGTCATCCACAGGATGAGAAAAGTCGCTGGGTTAGCATGGGTTGGGATGGGAGTCCAGGTTAACTATAAACTGACTGCAAGCTACTTTTTCCAGAAAGGATGAAGTGATAGTCTAAATAGATCCTTAATTGAGCGTACAGTGTAGAGAATGGTTGCTTTGTAAAAGGACTCAGGACAGTTTTCTTAAACCAACAATGTCCCTTTTAATTTCCTCATTCATTTTCTTATTGCAATTTGAATTTTAGTGTTCGGAAGAGGGCTTGTCTCTCACATAAGATGAAATGCACGTGTGCTTTGGAGTACCATATCTCAAAGTGTTTGGAAGGAATGGACCTGTCTTTCCCTACCCGAGTGAAGTATGTGCCATGGCCAGCTCGGTGCCAGGGTGTGGCCGAGTTGGGCAGTGACTGAACCAGCCCCTCCATGATG